CGCCAGTGCGCCGCGCGCTGTAAAAGCAGGTAATAATGCTCGGCTTGTCCAGTCTCATTAATTAATCCTGCACTGTGCGGAGAAAGAAAAAGAAGCTCCCGGTCCTCGCGCGGGCGGCGAGACGAGGCGAGCAGACGGTGGATGGAAAAAGAACGGAAAAGAGGAAGAGGTAGGGAGAAAGGAAGACGAAACGATATCTCTGCCCGCGCTCTTCCTTCTCGAGATATCTGGTCGGACCTGATCCATAAATACACTTCGCCGTGTTAATTCCGTGTGCCGACCAAGGGGCCGAGCAACTACCGGTATTAACCGAGTCCATGACACGCGGTTACACCACGGAGAAGAGTAGTTGGGGAAGGGGGGGAGGAAGAAGACGCGGCGAGGGGACGCGATAGCGACGAGAGAGAATGGGACGGGGAGAGCGGGAGGAGGAAAGGGGATAATCTCAAGCCCGACCGTCCCACGTTCGCTGCAATTTGTCTTCGGGCGTTGGATAAAACGTCAACGGCGGTGTGTTATTTGTAATTTGGATAACGGTATACCGCTGCCAGAATCGCGGAAGGCATTTGTCAGCCGCGCGGCCGGAGTCGCAGTTCTGAAACGAGACACACATACACACACGTATGCAAAACACACGCGCGCACCTGCACATCGGCGACCTAATATCTCGCCGAAAGCAGAGCTTGTCTTATCCGCAACTTTTTTTGCGATCAATCAGGTATTAATCAAGTGCTGTTTCTCTCTTTCGCCCCGTCCGTTCGCGTTGACGTCGTCCCCTTCGGGGGACTTGGTTCGAGAGGGGTTGCTTAACAATTCGATTAGAGATAATCGGCTTTTTGCAGGAGGTGGGGAGAGGAAGGGAAAAAAATAACAAACTGATGGGATTATATATTTGAGTCTCTCTCGGATAGAAAGTTATTCATTCGCTTCCGTCTCGTCGTGCACGTTTTATCGACAGCATATAATGATTTCGGCGATCAATTAATATACAGCAATCATTCTTCAGTCTTTGTGTATTGTTTTTTTCTTGTATATATCGGGATACACACAATCTGTTAATTATTCGTCATGACGGTAATTAAAATTGATTCCTCGATGCGTATCGCGCGCGGAGAAAAGCGATTGTTTGGTACATTTGCATAATGGAAAAGTGTCTGAACAATAAAATTCCACATTCCATTAAACTGGCTCGTACGTTCCGCTTATACAGATTGTGTATGTGTGTGTATGTTAGCGCGGTTGGTAGCAGTAGTGATTCGGCATTTAGTTATTTTCAATCCGGTCCGTGTGTATGTAAGCGCGCGCGCGCGCGTGCATGTTCGCCGTTGTTCGAGAGCAAAAATATTAATGAGAGTGCTCTCACAGAGCGCCCCGTCATTCTCGCAAATCTCCGAGCGCTGGCAAAGACCGCGCGGACCTCGTTCACGCACAAGTCGTCGTCTTGTGGGCTTTCATTCAGTCCGTCTCCTCTCCTCTCTTCTTGGACGAATAAAACGGACGCTGATCGCGAAGCGGCTCTCTCGACCGATAACGATTAATTAAAGCGGCATCCTGCCGCAGAGCGCGGTAAGTGATGACGATCACTCGCGCTCGTGTTCTCCCGGCGTACACGCGAAATATCTTCACGCGAAAACGAGACGAACCCGGCGAGAGAGAGAGAGAGAGAGCTCGAACGAAAGATATTATCCGGCTTTTAAGCGATTCTCCGATGTTTTTCGCGTGAATGTTGAAACGTCGAGCGGCTCGCATATAGTTCGGCGAAATGTCTATCGGAGCTTCGCGTTTCGAGGAGGCATATAACTGGCGCAAAGAGAGAACCGGCGGCGCAGCGCGGCCATGTGACCGTCGCGGTCGCCGCGGGTTGAGAGCACCGGCGCGGTTAACCGCGGTAACCGCAGCGACCGGTTCGGAGAGCCGCCTGCCGACACGAAAGCGTTCGTTCTCGCTCGGCGTAGCGCGCCGCGGCGTATCGGGCTCTCGCTCCCGCGCCGTTCGCATTCCTCCGTCTCCGTCGTGCACCTCGCGTTTCCTTCCTTCCAATTCTCTCTCTCTCTCGGCTGAGCATCGAAGCCGGAGCCCACGTCGAGGACACGTAGAGGTATCCGCGTAGCCAGCGAACACGCAACCGGCAAGCAGGCAAGAGCAAGCAGGCAGGCAGGCAGGCAGGCAGGCGAGGCAAAGAGACTGGCAGACAAGCGAGGGCGAAGGCGGCTTCGCGTAAACCGCAGCCGACCAAGCGCGACCGACAGCTTCGCCAACACTCCGCGGCACCTTATATTCCTTCTCGCCCCGTGAAAACAAGATAAAGAGCCGGCTGGCGAACGAAGGAGTGTATACGCGGCTTGATGGAAGCGAAGGGGGAATTAGGCGTGTATAGTGCAAAAAGCACACAATTCTCGCGACGCGAACCGAACCCACAGATCGTACGTACACATGCGCGTCGCACTTCGCGTACGCTTATATATTTATTATATTTCATTAGGGGAATCCTCTTTTTTCTCTCTCACCCTCTCTTTTCTTCGCTTTGTCTACGCATCGGTACGCGGCGCACGGGAGACGAAACGTCGCGCATACACACGCGTATGACCCATCCTGCGTTCCGCGAAGCATGACAATGGGCTTTTCTAATCTTCCTTTGGATTAAGGGTCGTAGGAAGGGATGGTTGCACAAGAGAGGAGAGGCGCGACTCGGCGCGATGAAGCACGAGGGGCGAGAGAGAGAGAGAGAGAGAGAGCTCCAGGTAATGGGATCGACGTTTCGTTATGTTACTTTTCCATTCTCATCCTCGGCCTCTCTATACTCTAGTCGTCCCGGCCTCCTTTCCCGACCCCATCCCACACAACCCCGACTGCACCAGGCTTCGGTGTCTCGGTTCGTAGGATATCCATCCTACCAGCGCCCTCCACCTTCGCCACTTTTTCCCCTCTTCTCTCGTCCTCTCCTTCCTCCTCCCTCCCCCCGGGTCCGTGTTTTTCCTCGTGTGGCCCCCTATTTTTCATGTTTCGCTGCGGCTTCGCGTAGCACCTTTATTTAGTATAGGTACGTTCTCTCCGTGGGTCTCGGGGACGAGCGAGAGAGTGATCCGCGCGGACACGACGTACGCGCGTCATCTGGAAAAAGTCGCCGCGCGATTGGCCGAGGTCGCGTTTTCATTCGACTCTTTGCCGTCGCCGACTCGATCGGCGGCGCCAGACGCGCCGTCATTGGCCAAGTGTCGGCCGTGGCGGCGTTGGTTGGTCGAGGCGCGCGGCGCGATCCGCGCGGATTCAGCGCCTTTACGAGGCAAGCGGACGATAGCGGCAATCAAGTAGGAAACTGCTTGGGACTGTGTGCCGCGCGATATTCACATAGGGGCACCCCCTTAGCACACACAATCGCGCGTACAGGATAGTACTCGCTACACACTCGCGCGCACAGTCCACACGTGTACACACACACATACGCGCGCGGCACACATACACATTCCGAGTTATACGAGTATATGTGTATGTGTGTATACGTATCTCCCCCCTCTCTCGCGCTCTCGCTCTGTCGCTTTATGCAGCTACGTTGTATAGGGGTTGGGAAAACGGGTGGAGGCGCCATATTTGTGGTAGTGTGGGAAGTGAGGGAAATCACGAGTGGCGAGAGAGGCAGCCGGTCGACAAGCGGGGAAACGAGGCGCGGGGAAAAGCGAGGCGGAAGGGAGGGGGAGAGAGGGAGTTTACGCGGACATCCGTGTCAGCCCGGTGACGGCCATTTTGCGAAAAACTTTCGATTTGTTTGCACACGCCGTAGCGAACCCGGAGGAACGACTAATACCGACGCGTATGCTCAGCATGCCGCGCCGCTCCGCGTCCCTTCTCTCCTCATTCTCTCTCTCTCTCTTTCTCTTTCTCTCTGTCCATCGTTTTATACTCCGTCGTATCAGTTCGCGACCGAAAACTTTTCGGTACCCGGCGGACCGGCGTTTCTCTTCGCTCCGAGACCGGCGACATCCAAACTGGAGTCGTGTAGCAACGAAGGGAGTAACAACGTCGGGATGACACATCCGCGTAAGCTCTTTTAGTCACTGTCTCTCTTGAGACTGATGATACGCCAAATTGCTCAGATTCCGAAGGTGATCGAGAGCAAACATTATTTGCGCACGCAGCGTCGCGGCGACGCTGTCGTCGCAGTTGGTATCGCGACGATAATGCCTTCGGGGGCAATGAAGAAAAAAACGGACGGTTAGTAATCAACGTCGATAAACTGCCGATGACAGCGAGCGAGAGAGAGAAAGAGATAGTCACTTTTTTTCCTGTGTGTGCTCATCGAAAGAGCGAATCAGAAGGCTACCGTGCGTTTCGCAATGTGAGGAATCAAGTGGCGCAGTGCGAAAATGCGTTTCGGCCGACAAAAACCGAGCCGAAACGACAAAATCGGAGCAATAGGCCATTTAATAACGATATAATTCCGTTCCATCGGAATTGGCCATTCATCGAGGGCGAGCGACGCGTAAAAGGCAATCGTAAAGATGCGCGATCGAAAATCACGACAGGACGTTCCTCGTTAAAAAGGTCAATAAAACGGATCGAGTATACATCTACATATATGTATAAGAATATCGGGAATGTGTGTGCGTGAGAGAGAGAGAGAGAGAGAGAGAGAGAGAGAGAGA